TGTCGCGGCCTACCGAAACCGCGATCCGGTAACTGGCGCCGTTACCCAGGAACCTTGTATACTAATACGCGCATACTCTGTACCAAAACTAAATAAATCTTTTTGTTATTTTTATCTTACACTCCGCGTCCTATTATTTCACGAACCCGGACTCCGACGAGCGAATACATCCGTGGCAACGACATCAACCAACACGCGGAGAACGGTTGTTACATTGGCGCCCGAACAGTTCAAGACGCGAAATAAGACAGAAAAAGCCCGAGTACAGAGCACGAATGACGTCGTGGGTATACAAATGAGCAAAAAACGAAATTATAGAACATCTACAAAAACAAAACGTAGATACGGAGGGAACATTCGAAGATCTAAGACAACGACTCGTGCAATTAGCAAAAAGACAACCGGAATTATTTACAGACGCGAAAAATAGTATCTGGGTAAACGGCACAGTAACCGAGAACAAGGACGCGATGCCAGGAGGCAACGATTCCGCTGCAACGATAGAGCCGGGGGAATCAATCGCGAAGATAATGGGCCAAATAAGGAAATGTGGGTGCCACTTTGATGGACGCTACCCTCACTCGTTCCTGGAACGAGTCGAGGAATTAAGCCAGGTATACGGATACCCAGGCGAATATCTACTAAGAGGGCTACCGGAAATGTTGAGAGGCGAGGCTCTAACGTGGTTCCGGAATGCTCGCGAGAATTGGCATTCGTGGGAAGAATTTTGCAGCGACTTCGAAGCAGAATACATACCGCGGGAGTCCCAAGTAAGAATGCGGCGGCAAGCAAGGGGACGCGAACAGAAGGAGGGAGAGCCGTTCCGGAGTTACGCCAACGACCTGCTCAAGCTCATGCGAAGAGCAGGCGGATGGTCGGCAAAGGAACAGCTCGATCTCCTCTATGAGAATATTGCTCCCCGAAACGAAATGATTTATAAGACCGGACGAGGTGGACAGTTTAGGCGAACTTCGGGCGAGAGTAACGGAAGTCGAGCAGATAGAACAACAAATTAGGGAAAGAAAACAGAAAAAAACAGAAAATCAAAACGTGCAGGCAAAAATACCGCCAGCAGCAACAACGCCCTATAACAAGGACGAGTGCTGCTGGCGGTGCAAGCAAAGGGGACATAGCAGATTTGACTGCAAGAGACCACCGCAGAAGTTCTGCTCGCAATGTGGCAAGGACGACGTACTGACAAGGGAGTGCCATTCGCGACCGGGAAACGGGCAGCGGGCCGAGTACCAGAAGGAAACTCGGCCCAGCAAAATCCAATAAAATACACGCCGAGACCGTTTATCAAAATAAAAATAAACGGGCAAGAAATAGAGGCACTACTCAACTCAGGGTCGGAGACATCCTTTATAAAACCCGAGACAGCAAAACAACTACAATTAAAAATACGCAAGACAGACAATAACGTTAGACTGGCTAATGGAACAACAACAGAGGTGACAGGGACAGTACAAGCAAAAATGAGAATTCAAAATAACGATTATCAACGGCAACTGATAGTATTACCGAACCTCGGTTGCGAGATGATCATCGGAACAGACCTATGAGCTGACTTACAATTAACGTTACCACCGCCGCCACGCACAGAACCGAAAACAATAATAAATACGTGCATAATAGACAAAGGACTGACGCAACGGACAGAAATAGAAGACAAAACATTAAAACAATTCTTAACAAGAGAATTAAATATGTTTAAACAAATACAAGGACCAACCAAACACATACAACATCACATAAGACTGACAAACACAAGACCGATCAAACAGAGATACCGACCCCGAAACCCGGCAATGCAGGCAGTCATAAATGAAGAAAAATGCCGGTTCTGCGTAGAAAAACTAAAATATTTAGGACACGTAGTAAACAATAAAGAGATCCAAACGGACCCGGAAAAAATTAATACGATTAAAAACTGGCCAATACCGAGCACAGTGCGGAAAATTCGACAGTTCCTAGGATTAGCATCGTGATATAGGAGATTTATACCAAGCTTCTCCACCATAGCCGCCCCACTGACCACAATGCTACGCAAAAATGCAAAGTGGAAGTGGGGAATAGAACAGGAAAAGGCGTTCAGGGAACTGAAAACGAAATTAACGACAACGCCGGTATTGGCTTGTCCGGACTTCACAAAAAAATTTGTCATCCAAACAGACGCCAGTACGGAGGGTCTAGGCGCGGTATTGACGCAGCGGCTAGACAATGAAGAACGGGTAATCGCGTATGCAAGCCGGACCCTGGACAGGGCGGAACGGAATTACAGTGCGACCGAACTGGAATGCCTCGCCGTGGTATGGGGAATAAGGCGCCTCCGCGACTACTTGGAGGGATACAGATTTACAGTCATCACAGACCACCAGTCCCTCCGGTGGCTGCAGAAAGTGGAGGCGCCAACAGGGAGATTAGCTCGATGGATCATCGAGCTACAACAGTACGATTTTGAGATTCAATACCGGCGAGGCAGTCTAAACACGGTCGCGGACGCCCTGTCCAGGCAACCACAAATATGTACCATCACCACCGCATGCCAATGGTATCGAAAAATAAAATCCCAGGTGGCCGAG